ATTAACTTCAAGAATTTTTTTTTATTTTTTTCCATTCGTGTTGTCGTACGATTGAGCTCTCAAATTCTCAATTTTGAGATTAAGGCTTTGGAAGCAACTAGTGATTGCATTGAACAAACTTGGAAGTTTCTTGAGGTGTTTTCGCAATAAAAATGCAAAATAAATCGAATCATGATTGATAATTGTTCTTTTATGCGAACAATCTGGTGTTGTGTCAAGAACAAAATAAACAAAATATTTTCAGGGAAAATTTTAGTCCATTCAGAATGTGAAACCAAATTTCAAAATGAACTTTAGAAATTCAATGTAAAGACAAGACGGAAAAAGGAAAAACATAAAAACATAAAAACAAAGAAAAAAAAAACGAAAATGAAATGCGCAAGCTCAAAACTGCTCACTCATTCAAAACAAAAATTCGAATTCATATGATGCAAGTTATGTGATGATGATGATGATGAGATATTTTTACAAAGTTTTTTTTACAAATTTTTCATTTTTTACAAATTTATAAAATAAAAAATAACGATTTTAAAAAATTGTACATTTTTTCTTTGATGATTTTTTCGATTTATCATCTGGTAATTCTTTCAATTCTATGTTTATAATCGTCGATGATGATTTTGGTCGGTTAAATTGTAATGGGAAAAATTCTGGCCAATCATCATCATAGTTGTTTGTCATTTGATAACCTTGAAATATCCGTATTCCGGGATATTCAAATATTAAATCATCATATTTCCATGACANGATTTGATCCAATGAAACATATCGATTATCATTTTATCATTATCAACAATAATACGATATTCAGTTGGATTTTTATTTAGGAAAATTGTAAATGAATTTTCCTTCATTGTTATAATGTCAAGAATCGAACTGAATGGAATGATCATTCGGGATTCTTTGTGATAATCCATTGATTCTACATTTGATTGTTTGGATTCAATTCTTAAAATTTTTACAACAAAACAGTAATCATCATCAACATCGTTGTCACCATCATCATTTGGGATCGTTTTCGACAATTTTTCCACTGTAAAATGACAATTTTTCCAGTGATATTTCACCGGCGGATTGATATCTCGATCCGTGTAATAAACTTGTACTTTGATCATCTTTGTTTTTGTAGTTTTTTTGTTTGTAATTTTTGAAAAAAAAAGTTTATCAAAGATTCGATAGACCTTGAAAGAGTGTTTGAGCGAAAAATGGTTTGATTCATGGGAAAACCTAGTCAATTTTATATTCATTGAAACAATTTAATAAATTTTTTTTTACAAAAAAAACAATTTTATTATTAAGATTTTTAAAAATTAATAAAATTATTTGAACAGGGGGCGTTGACTTTTTGAATGGAAAAAAGAACCAGCGACGAAACCATGAGTTTTATTTCACAAAAGAAATTAACCCCGTCAACAGCAATGCTGGAAGGAAGATGGATCCAAGCAAGATAATTGTTAAGGCTGGTACGATAACATGTAGCAAAATCAGATCGAAACATACCAACAACGTCGTGCCCATCACGTTTTATGATATGACCAGTTAGTTTATCGGTAACAGAATCACAAACCTCAATGGCTGGCAAATAATGCATTGTAACGAAGGCCGATTGAGTTGGTCCATTAGCCATCGTGCGTAACAACTCTTCAGGATGGATACTATAGGCAACATGTCGAAGTATTACGCAATCGGTTTCGAGGCGAATACCATCGGCTATCGGTTGGTTGAATACCGGTCAAAATGAAATGAATGAATGAAAATTATTTGAATTATAGAAAAAAGAAATTTAAAGAAAGGTTTGTGTTGAATTTTTGGGGAAAATGCAAATAATTAAATGAAAAAGGATGAAGTTAGTAAAAAAAATAGTCCAACACGGAATCTTGTCACCAAGATAATGATTTGCCCAAGTTGTAATCCAATGACTTTTGGTAGAAGGTAAAACATTCATTTGTTCTACGATCAATCTGTTGTTGTTGTTTTACAAGCTTCGAATGAAGTTTTGTCAAATCGAAAGCGCTCAACCAACGAAAAAAAAGGAAAACGGAAAAACGAAACACAATCGAATGCGCGCAAACTACAACTGCTGCTCAATTATTGTTTCCGGAAACATTTTTTTCAGAATTTTTACGGGAAACTTTTTTATTTTTTTTAATCATAATCAAAAATTAAAAATTCATTTTCATCATCATCATCATCGGGATTTTCTTTTTCCATTGATTTTTCTGAACTGGATGATGACGACGAAGAAGAAGAAGAAGCAGGCGACTGCGAAGATTGGATTGGTGATATGTTATTGAATTTCTTTTCCCATAAAATTGAATTCTTCAGTACATAATAATCATCGATTGGATTGGATAATATTTCATCCCATGTGAACCATGGTAGTTCATTTTGAATTAAATTCAACAAGCTTTTAACATCATTTTTATCCGTAAATTCCAAGCGATATTGAATCGCGTGTTGATCGAGGAAAATTTCTATTGTTTTTTCTTTCAATGTAAAAATTAAATCCAGAATCGTATTGAATGGAATCGCTTTTATGGTTCCTTCATCAAAATCAACAAGTAACGATTGTGGATTCCATTCACGAATCGTTTTACATCGTGGATACGTTTTGATTATAAAACGATAATCCGAACCATCATTACTTGTGGAACCTCGACATTCTCCATGTTCTTCGGATTGATGCTTCAGATGAAGATCACAATCATCGAAATTCAAAGTGATATTTGGATATGAATCCAAATCGGTAAATTGTACTTTTACTATGTACATTTTTATGGTTTGTAAATTTTTTTGTAATTAAAAGGATTCGATAATTCTGTTTTCGGATAGTGTGAAAGAAAATGGTCATTTGTAAAACACATTGCCTTTTATTTTAAATAAAATATTTGTAATAATAATTTAATTAAAGTAAAAAAAAACTTTTAAAACATTTATTTAAATCACTAAATTATAATTTTTTTAAATTTTATATATTCTTGTTTGAAAAAAATTACAAATAATCAATAAAGATCAATGGGATCAAATTATCAAGTTGTAAATTTTTTTCTGATAAATGAAATTTACAAAATGAAAAAGAAGGCGTTGGGCCCATAACCTGTTGATTAGTTATTCTTGTTCTAATTTTGTCATTCTCGTTTCTTCGAATCTATGAATGTATGAATGAATGAAAAAGAAAAAAGAAAATTGGTAAATTTTACAAAAATGAAACAAACTTTCATTGAACTTACTATTATATTTACCAAAAAGACTGAAATTGTAATCAAAATTTGTTCTTTCCGGTAAATTGAACAAGTTTTCATTCCATTTTTACTTCGAATTTCATTAGAGACGACTTTGTGTGAAAAAGAATGTTCACTCGTTGAGTGATAAAAAACGATTAAACACTTTAGTTAAGGAAAAATTCTATTTATAACAACAAAAAAATGAGTAACATTGTTGTGACATTCATAGATGAGGTTACACAATAGATATTGGTATTGACAAGGGAAAAAGAATTGTTCGAAACAATTCGAAATCTCAACGATTATGTAAGAACACATTGAATTGCTAATTGCAATTAATAACATTTTTATTTTAACTATTAACATTTTATAATAATACGAATGTTTGATTTACAGAACTTTAATAGTTCTAACATAGATTAAAATTAACGATAATCATCGGAAATAAGCCATGATCGGTTGCAATGTTGGCCAATTCATCCGTTGAGAAAAACATGTTTCATCATAATACGATGACGAAGGTTTAACCACAAATTGGGCACTCCAGCACACCAGGTGCTCCATTGTTAGTAATTAATGATCGAACACAGATAAAGACAACTTTTTTATTTTATTTTAAAAACACAAATCATCACATCAATAAAAACAACAATAATGATTTTGAATATAGTGTAAGTGAAAAAATTCATACAAATGAAAAAACATTGCACAAATTTATACAGGATTCAAACGATTTGATTTTTTTTGGGAAAAAATGATTTGATTTTATTATTATAAAAACAATTAAAAAAATTTTTAAAGCAAATATTCAATCCATGTGTTCTACATCCCAAAAGGGATCATTATTATTATTATCATCATTATTATCATTAGCCAGAACTAATGTTTGTTGATCATGATCAATCTCTTCTACTTCATTGAAAGTTGATTGGATCGGTTCAGATCTCGATAATACATATTTTTCTGGCCAATCAATAAACGTTGTATTCAAAATACAACGTTTTAAGTAGAATTTCATTGTTGTATTCCATTGAAAACATGGAATAAAACAATGAAAATAACAAAATAGGAACGTGTGATGAACATTTGACAATGCTCAAATGAAAAGCTTTTTTTTAAGACAAAAGGTTCAGCCTTTTATATATGTCATATTGCTGCTGAACTTGACGTGGCTGGCTCTGCGACAAAATGCCCATTACAATAGTGATTATTTTCAGAAGTGATACTGCCGTAAAAAATTGCTGTTAAAAATCGAAAAAGATCTTGTCTTTGAAACAATTTCGAAATGAATGAAAAACATTTTTCAATTTCTTTTTTCTCGACTGAAAAAAGAAATTCGAATTTTTCCAGAAAGAAAAAAAAAGGATTGCTGTCCCGAAGTTGATGGAATTTTTCCATGATCCATTATCAACAAAAAATGAACGAGAATCAATACGTTCCATTCTTTTTACTTGAACTATATCTAATATTTCTTGTTGATCCATTTTGTTGTTAGTTTGGGGAGAGTTAGAATATATAAAGAAAAATCTGATTTTGATAATTGATTCGATAATATTGGAATGTAATTGATTGCAATTTTTGCTTTTGTCGATTAAATGCTGAAAATAATTCGGTTAATGAATAGACCCGTCATATAAAACGTGACAAAATTTGATAAGATAACGATGAAAAAAAATCATAAAGGTTATAGAGAAAACATAATTTTTTATTAATATAGAATTCAAACATTTAACATAAAATTACAAAAACAATTTACAAATGAATACAATTTACAAAATGATTAAAAATTTT